TCTCAACAGGAGCTTATCTTCACTGATGTCCCCATTGGAATTTGTTCTTCGTGGGGCTGACAGCCCCACACAGAAAGCTGCATGGAGATGGTGCATCCCAGCAGGGCTTGCTGAAAAGTAGGGTCACTGCTCACTCTTCGGGGCACATGTACCAGAGGACATGAAACTGCAGACCCTCGTATGGGAGGAATTTCAACTGTGTAAAACTAGAAACCAAAAGGCATCTTGGTAGCTTGCCATCTTTCCCTGCTCCAGTATCAGATGGATGCTCAAATCTGGGTCCCACACACCTCGTATTTAACTTATTCCACTCTTCAGCTGATATTAATACCAAAGTTCTACAAGCAGCTACTTAAAGGAGTTTTGATGGGGCTATAAGAGCTATGTGGATAAACAAAGTTTACTGTAAGTTCTATCTTCCCTTTAGCCTCATTATGCATTTACTTGTCCACTAAAAATATATAGAGATAAAAAAAACCACTTCTTTTATTTTTTCCTTTGGGGTTTTCCTTTGTGCCAAGCCCTGAGACCTAGAAGACATTCCTTCAGGTGCAGGGACTAGTCTGCCCTGGGAGAATTATGTGTGTGCCATCTGGGCTTTGAATGCCAGGGTCAGGGCATCCCAGCAGATCTGCAAATTCTCCTAGAAGACGATCCTGTGATGCCCTTCAAGATCAGAGCTCTGAGAGTCCATCCCTGGACTCTGAAGAGCTGCACAAAGCTCACGGATAAGTAGTAATAGCACACGTTATGTCCCAGCACCACAAAGAGATAAGTACCTATGGACTTTATGCATCTACATGGTTTTGAGGATGGATCTTCTCAAGACAATTCCTCTCAGTCCCACTTGTAGGTATTTCCACTGATTTGCATTCACATCCTCCACAGAGCTGATAAAGTTTGCACTGAAGTTCATTGGCTAACTGCATAAATACCTTTGCAGTTATGCAGGATTAGCAGAGGAGGAGGAAAGAGCTCTTCTGAGCAAGACACTAGCGCTGTACATCCAATCCAAATACGTGCATTCAACATCTGTCTCTCAATTAAAGCATTCCCCACTCCACAGCAAATAAAAAAACCCAAACAAACAATCAAAAAAAAAAAAACCAATAACTTGTGAGCAGCGCTGGGCCTCCTTCCTTGAACTGCATGCAGGGCTCCTACATTACATGTAAGACGTACTACCAAAGTCCTGTTTTATTGTTACTTTTTATGTGCTAGAACAAATTTAGGCCTAGGAAAAAGATGCCATTTGGGTGCATACTGAGTTAACGTTACTTGCTTTTCACCACAGGACTTGCTGGAACCCTTCTGGTTTTTGCAGGATAAAGAGGATTAGCTCCAGGGCAGACTGCATTTCTGTATTAATGTGCATGGTGCTACAATCTATCTTTCACCTACTTGTTGGTGAGATCATCCACTGCAAAGACATGGGTTTACGCTTTCAAAGATATCTGTGGATGTATGAGAAAATGTGGAGGCAAGTTGTCCACACATGCATGATATTTAGTTTTTGACCCTAAATGGTGCAAAAGCAGCAGATGAGGACAGAGGATCAGATCTTTGGTAAACAAGTGCCATCCAACACCCAAATCTGGATGTTGTTTTTTACATCAGGGAGAGAAGCACTTCAAGTTCTTGAGAAGTTCTTGATACTCATTCTTTTTCAGAAAGGCTAAAGGTGCTCTACAGTTGTTAAGAATGAAAAGCCTTTTGCATACACTTCATCCAACTCCAGGAGTCCCCTTTTTTTTTTTTTTTAATAGTAAATCTGCTACTCCAGGAGTTTGGCTTTCCTCATTCCTACAGCAATTCCAGTTTAATCTGTGCCATGTAGACATGGCCCTGAATAGAAGTTCTCTGTGTTTCCTCTATGTTACAATCATTTCCAGGGTCATGCCTAGCTTTTAGATTCAGTAACAAATTGGTGATCTACCCCTGCACTGCACTCATCTCATTTGCCTGCACTCACAGCTCCCTGTGCAAGGCATGGTGAGTCTACTTCTTTGAGATTTCCAGTGGTGTTAGCAGCCTGCCTCTGCAGACAGCCATGGAATGCAGTGCAGAGACAGACCTTCATGTTCTTCACTCTTCATGTAGACTGAGATTTCTCATAGTCTCTGTAAGCATCTTTCATCTTCATATGACCTTTCTGATGTACAGAAAAAGGCAAGTCAGACAAGGCTAGCTGGCAGATAAGATCCCTTTGCTCTCTGCAAACACCCCTGAAGAGACAGTATGTGCTGCTCTGCAGCATGATGCAACACTCATTTGCTGTACATACAAAACATCCTTAAGACTGTGTGAAATTGAGTGTGAACAAGCAATAGATCCCATTTCATCAAGCATAATAAATCCAAAACAGAGCAGCAGAAATTCTCCTTTCATCTTGCCTAAGGGTTAGCGATATAAACACAGAACACCCTGTAAACAAAAAAGTGACTATGCAGATCTCAATGATCTGTGAATTCTTCTGTAATGCAAAAATGGCTTTTATCTCTCACTGTCTATTTATGAACACTCATCAGTGTGTTTTCTGAGTGCTTTGATAAATGGCAGTGAATATATTTAATGTATGTTTCATTTATTAATCCATCTACTTCATCTAATTTGGAGATAAATGTTAAATAATGGAAAAATACAGCATTTACAAATGTTTGCTGTGCACATTTGGACAGTAACTAGCTCTTTGACTAGAATCCCAGAAAAAGAAGGGAAAAAAAATTATAACAAGTTGGTAGATCTCAGATTGTATGATCTGCCCTAAGAAGGATGCACCATTTTCCTAATGGCACTACACAGATTCTTGTTTATCTCTGAAGAACGTAGCAAGGACACAAAGTGGCTGAATTTGTTCCAGAAATGGTCCAGTAGGGTGGAGAGAAAGCACAAGAACCTCTATGCAATTTGTCCAAAAAAGCCTGATAAGATCTGTAGATCACACATCCCCAGTATTGCCACCACCCTAGCCAGCATGCATAGGAGACAATAATACAGAAAATCCAGAGGTGTGGGTTGGCAGTACTTCAGCCTACAAAGCATCACCCAGCTGTGGCTCAGTGAGCACTGAAAGCAGTGCCAGAGCCTTGATGCCTCCTCCCTCAGCAGAACAGGTGATGGCAAACAGTCTGGTCTAGGCCACAAATTGGACTGAGATGAATAACATGAACATGTTAAAACTGTTTATTTTACAGAGGGTAGCCTGCCCTGTTATTCTTCACACTAAAAAAGGCAGAGTAAGAATAAGAAATCTAGGCTTTTAAAATACAGGTGTTTGGACTCTAAGTAGCACATGTTGAAGGCTGCGTATGAGACACAAACCATGGCCTCCTCCCCAACTCAGCCTATGTAACCACAAGACAACCAAGAGAACATTTGTAGACTCCAACAACTTCTTGATTATCTTACCATTGCATTTTCTATACATTGCTAGTTTAGAATGAGCGCTGTATTTCTGTGTACCTGCATTTGGAAATGCCCGTACCTCTCCTGGACCTTACATTCTCTTCACTTCATTTCACTTCACTTTGCTGTGCTTCACTTCACACAAACAGACCATGGCTTTATCATACATGATTTTTTCAATCTGGAGCTGAGATTGTGCCTGTTCTTACCCGTTTGCTGTTTGAGGGCATTTTCTCAGTAAAGAAAGAGGTCAGGAAACAAACAATGGCCTCAAAGGTTTCTCAGATTAGCCTGGCAACACACCTCAGTTTCCATAGCCATCAGGGAAACGGGCATTGTTATCAATAGCGTCACACCAGACCAGCCCAAATGACCAGGAACCCAGTTACAGCCAGGTCAACAGGAAAGTAGCTTGCAGCAGCACTCCAAGCATGAGTCTGTATCCCTGCCCTGAGGGTCGTTAACTCTGTGTTTGAAACACCCAAGAAAAAGCTCTAGCAGCATTTCTTTTCAGGGCTGCAGCCCTGGTTTTGAGCTTGTGTCGCTGAACAAAGGATCAGTCCCCACGGGGTCTGCAAGAGAGGGAACAACACTGCAATAACAAGGCCAAGCTTGCTGTCCTGGCAATGAATGTTTATCTCACACAGCTCTCCCAGTGAGCAATGTTTAAAATAAATAAATACTGCAGGGGAGTTGCTGTTTCTGTAATTGTTGGGCTTTATTCTTGTGAAAGTTTTTACTGTAATAGTGTAGCAGACGTACAGTGTGTTTGCAAGTCAGGTTTGAGCCAGAGCACAGGAGCACATAAAGTCACTTAATAGATAATGAACTCTGTGCATGTGGGGTTTTTTTGCAGCATAGATTAAAAAAATCAACCCCTTCAAATACAGTAATATGCACTTGCTATTGAAACAAACTGAAAGAAAACAGAATGAAGAGATTTAGCTCCTGGTACCTGGAAATGGCACAAATGTTCTCCTCAGGAGAAGGTTGCACAGCAGCCCTCCTTCATGTTCTTCCACTTGTGCTGTTTCAGCATAGGTGGCAATGATGATGCTGCTGAAGTTTGCTCACTAATTATGATGCTTTAAATTTTTCCACTATATCTGAAGACTGTCATACAATCAGGAGGTCAGATCCTCAACTGGACTCAGGCACGCCACCTTTTCATGGATTTGGTGGTGCCTTAACTTGCAGAGGCCAAGAGCTCTTCATCGTCTTAGGTTTATGGGTTAGCAGAAGTAAATGTCTGCATCTCAACCTTCCCAGTGTAAAGAAATATCAGAACATGAGGAGGAAAGACTGACAGGAGCCCTGAAACTTTTCTGCACAAGTCTTATACCAGTTCCTAGCTTCACTGAAGGTGAACAATTAGTTCTAGATAAATTAGATAAATCCAATAATTTTAGTGGGTGGGATCTCTTTGCAAAAGGCACACTCTAGGCCCATCAGGATAATCTGTAATAATACCAGTGCACATAAGCAGAAAATACTACTTTGCCCATGTGGGAAACTGCCTGATGGGCATGTCATCCAAGCACTTAACTTACTTGTAAATAAATAATTACAAAGAATCAGAGAAAAGAAACACTTACTTGGTCCAAGACCTATGGAAAATGCAGCAACGTAAACAAGCAGGCTGGCCAGCGAGACCCATTTCAGGGCAACAGAAACCTCCCCATTCGCTGTGTGAGACCCCATCATGCTTCTGCCTCCTGCTGGAGTAGTCCTGTTCAGTTCTCCTGTCCTGGTGACGTCAAGGTTTCTCTGTATGTCAAATAAGAGTCTTTCTGGTAAAGCCATACTAGAAAAGAGGTCCTTGAAGCTCCCATTGGTGACACCAGTGAGGTTTCCTGGACTCTGATAGGTATCCTCTGGAGACTGGCTTCTACAGATATTGGTGAAATTCATGTGTATGTTACGGTTCACTAACCCCATCGTGACCAATGATACTGCCATAACAGAAGAGCCAATACACAGGAAAGTTTTACTTCCAACTTTATCCACAAAAACTGTGGCTGGAACTGTGCTGACCACTTTAACCACTCCGACTCCAGTAGAAGCCAAGCTAGCAGCTTCATTGCTCTGAAACCCAACTGACTTCAGAACAGTTGATGCATAAAATAAAATGTTAGGCTGCCCAGTAGTTTGCACAAAAAAGACTAGTGTAAGCCCTACCAGCATTCGGGCCCTCATGTTGTTCTTTGAACGAAACAGGTCCACGAAACTATACTGATGTTCATCTTTCAGGGAAGACTTGATCACAGTGAGCTCTTTAGTAGCATCTGAAGTTTCCCGTAGCCTCTCCAGTATTTTTCTTGCAGCTTCATCATTATTTTTCATGACAAGAAAACGTGGACTTGGTGGAAGGAAATACATGGCAATACCCTGCAAGGCACCTAATGGAATTACAAGGCCAAACATATACTTCCAGCCATGAGATACAGTGGCAAATGCATAATTTGAAATATAGGCAAAGAGAATTCCTATCACAATCATGAGTTCATTCAGTGAAACAAGAAGGCCTCTTCTGTGCTGTGGGGCAATCTCGGCAATATACACACATGTTGCAATTGATGATAATGATATGGAAATACCTATGGCAATTCGTCCCACAATAAGTATTCCATATGATTCGTGGGGCAGTAAAATCAGACTTCCCATCACAAGTAGAGATGATGCAATAATGATAGCAAATCTCCTTCCAAAACGATCAATCAGGAATCCACCAGTAAGTGACGCAAATAAGGCCCCGAAAAGAAGGGAACTCACAACAATTTCCTGTTCTTTGCAAGAGAGTGCTAATATGCTACTCATCTGAAGAAGAGCTCCAGAGATAAGGCCCAGCTCATAACCCATTAGAAGTCCACTTACAGCAGCAATGGCAGAAGATAGTAAAGTAAATGTTCCACAGCCTGAAATAAGAGGGAAAAAGAAATTGAAAGTGTGACTTCACAGCACTCACAATCAGTACTAAACATAAGATATAACCAGTAGTAAACACTTTTTTGTAACTTTTAGGCAAAACAGTTAGGTACAAACAAACCCAGAAGCAGTAGCTGTATACAATGCTAAATATGACTGTGTGTAATTTTTAATTCCTATAACACTCTCTTTAATTTTAATGCATTTAAGTTTCTGATATCCCTAATCTGAAGTCGATAAGGTTTTGGTTGAACCCTAAATAATTAAATCTTCTGCAGAATATCTTCACAAAAGGCAACACTGACAATGCAACCTTTTGATAGGAAAACAATTTTTGCTTTGAGACATTCTCAAGGTAAGGAAAGCAATAATCTTTCACCCAAACTGTTTCAACCTTGACTTGAATAAGTAATAAAATAATCCTTCACCACTTATTAATTACTTTGTTTCACTTAAGGATGCCATGACAGCTGCAGATATCAGTGTTTTTAATTTGCCATACCAAGGTTGATGCATACAGCCAGGATATTCAAGGGAAACCAATCCCCGAGGTACAAATTTCCAAACTTTATGGGCTTTGCTCATCGCTTTTTTGGAATATCAGAAACAGATATTTCACATACTTAGGACAACCTCAATGTTAAGAATAAAGAGCAGATGGCAAAAACATAAACTAAGTGGAGATTATACGCCTTTGAACCTCCACTTTAAAATAAACTCATTTTATACAACTACGATTCATTGTTTATTGTTACAAGATAGATTTCACTGATCATGTTCTACTAGCTGTGAAGCCTTTTGCACCCTAGACTTTGAGGAATATTTCAGTTTGTTGTTGTTGGTCTTGTTCATTCTCCCAGCATGATTTTCCCCTCACCATGATGTTGGCTGCAACACAGTAAGAAAAAAGTAGACTGACTTCTGATTTCCTGCTTAGCTGGAGAAATCACATGTGCCTGAGGAGAGGTAGCTTTTGCAGCACAACAGAGTCCACAGTTCAGTTAATTCTCCTGTTATATGGTATAACTGAAAATTATACAGAGACTGTTTATTTTTAGCTTATTTTTCTAAGACATTAAGGTTCTCTGTTCATGCTGACTGCCTGAAGGTCCTTGCCAATAATTTTGAGTGTGTTGGCGAGAATCAGCTCCATTTGACAGAGGTTATTACATTTCTAAGGAAAATCAGGCAAGTGGAGGAGGAGAGCAACCCCAGCAGGATGTTTGCACTACTAAAACAAATAATGCCAGAGCCCGGCCCCAATCCTGGAAGGGGGCCAATGAATCCTATTAAATTGCTGGCACAGTATCTGGCATAGTATTGCCCCATGCCACCTAGAACTCTGCTAACAATTCCTGGACGTGACCTGGTGGCACAAGGCCATCATCACACCCTGTAGCCAGTCCACAGGAGTTATTTCAGAGCATAGGACAATTTAATAAGTATAAGCCTGACTATAAGCCATGCCTCCAGGGAATTTCTTGTAGTGAAGGACCCAAAACTGAACACAGTACTCAAGATGAGGCCTCACCAGAGCTGGGTACAGAAGGGTGATCACTTCCCTGCTCCTGCTGGCACACGATTTCTGACACAAGCCAGCTAGGCAAGAGACAGGCAGAAAATGCATGATTGTGCATGCACATGAGCATGGCACTGATTACGAACAGAGCTAGAAGCATAGAATCATAGAATAGCATAGAAGTTGGAAAGGACCTCAAAGATCATCAAGTTCCAAACCCTCTGCCATGGGCAGGTTTGCTGATCACTAAATCAGACACTAGACCAGGCTGCCCAGGGTCCCATCTCAGCCTGGCCTTGGACAACTTCATTGATAGGGTAAACACAGCCTTTCCAGGCAGTGGGTTATGTACATGACTTATGTTAAGTTATGCTTGCAATATTCATTTTACTGTTGTAAAGTCTAATCTCTCCATTCCTCCCACCATCTTCCTTTCTATTTTTCGACTTGTTTGCTGACTATATATTTCTAGCTCTGGAAAACATACCCGTCCAGTATATCCTGACTGAAAATCAGGGCTGAGGATACAAGACTGTTGTGCTGAATTAATGTTTGGGTATCAGAAGTGAGATTGTTAATTTTTTTCACAGTGCTCTGTCCAGGCTAATTCCCAGTGCTGACATCTGTGCTTGTTTTGACATCTCTGCATTTTACAACAACAGCCCATGAAGATTTAACCTAAGATTCTGGTTTATTTAAATAGTAAGAAGCCAATAGAGATCACTTTGGTCATCTAGTCTAACAGGAACATAACACTTTGGACACAATTACATGTGTTCTTATTTTAATTAGAGCACTTGAGATATTTACCTTTGATTTTAAAATTTAAAAATGTGTTTAAGTCATACATTGTTCCTGTGGCTAATTGCTTTAATTTTAAGTTATCTGTAATTTATTTTTAACCCTATTTTTTGCATCTTCAGATTACAGCCATCAGATCTCATTCTCCATTTGCCTTCACTTACCCTTGATCAATATGTACAAAAATTATAGCCTGTCATCAAGTCATCCCACAGATATCTCCTGAATGATCTTCTTAGCCTGTGAGTCTTCATAAGTTTCCCAGTCTCTTAAGCATTCAAAACCCAGTTCACTGAACCCTCTCCAGGTTGTCAGCTTCTTTATTAAACTGTTAACAGGATCCAGTGCTTCTGTTGTAGTTGCACAGTGCCAAATGGGAGTCTTCTATAACTCTTCCGCTCCTAATGCAGATTTCTCTCCATACCCATCAAATGATTGTCACAGCAATGCACAGAAACTCATTTGCAGCTGGTTACTCTCCAGCACCACCCATTTCTTTTTTGACTGAGTTCTTTCCAAGGCACTCAGTGCCTTTCCTTTTTACTAGCCTGACATCTTATATCCTAACTACAAATGAAAATTACTTAGCATTTGGCTTTGTTAAAGGACAGAGGACAAGTTCAGGTTCCCTGTGAGAAATAAACAGCACCTTTAGATTTCTTTTGTTACTATTTGTAAAAAAATAGGCACTTCTAGATGTTTGAAATAGGTAAGATGCCTACTTCTCTCCACTGACTATAAAAGGAATCCCTTGCTTGCTCATATGCAAATGTCTAAAGTTAGCTGTGGGGAGCCTCAGACATGGTATTCACTTGCAGTCAATAGGTCAGGCCATCCAAATTTCCTTTAATCAGTGATATAGCCCATTTATTATTCACCCATCACTTTTATCACCCACAAATGTTATTATCTTTTTCCAGGCAACAGAAATCTATTAAGTAACAGGAACAAAAATTGATTTTAAGGATCTCCAGCAGAAACAAAGCAGCCTGGGCAGTGTCTCCTATTTATGCTTTGAACTCTGTGTTCTGCACAGCTTTTAATTCTTTAAATGTGCAACCGTCTCTCTGGTATGGTTCCAATTCCTTATTCAAAATGGCAGTGCCAAGACAAATATTTAAAGGAGTCTGCCACCACCACTATTCTTTACATCTCACAGTGTCCTCTCCTCAACCCCTGGTCCCTCAGAGCAGTGCAATGGAGGTGGGTTTTTTTTGCTTTTGTTTTTAATCTGAGAGAGATTGTACAAGCTGGAGATGGAGCCTGGGCACCTGGGAGTTGCTAGAGCAGCAACGTATGTGTGACTTAAGGTTATATATACGTTTAGCATCCCCCAAGTAAAGCAGCTTGGTAAATGTCTTCACATTTGTTTTTCACTGTGTCAGCTGGTATCCTTGCTGGTGACACATGTTCACAGTGGTATAGAAGTAGCCATTGACTGTAGCTAAAGCAGACCTCTGAGTGGAAAGAAGGTTCTAATGCATGGGTATCCAACCTTCTGACTTGCTTGGGCTGCACTGAGTAACGAGGAATTGTTTTGGGCTGCTTATACATAATCTGCTCTGAAAGTAATGTCTCCTACTATTGCTAAGAAAATTGTAACAAATACAAAGTGCACAGTAACATTATTTGATGGAACAAGTTCTCGGCTACAAAAAAACCTGTTTTTTCACATAGTCAGCAACATCAGCTATGCATTTTCACCAGTGATGAACAAGAGCCTGTATACAGCACTCATAAATAACCGCAACAGCAAAGATGACCCAGTGTTGTCACTGCTGAAATGCACCACCCACAGCCTCACTGTGTTCACATCCACTCTTCTGTCTCCAAAGTTCCCTTTGACTTCAGGATACATTTTGCTTCAATGTTTCAATATAGATCATGTTACAGTAGTTGTACTCGGTCCTTTAGCTGTCATTTTTAATGTTTCCGGCAGTTAAAGGCTTCCTTCCTTCCTTCCTTCCTTCCTTCCTTCCTTCCTTCCTTCCTTCCTTCCTTCCTTCCTTCCTTCCTTCCTTCCTTCCTTCCTTCCTTCCTTCCTTCCTTCCTTCCTTCCTTCCTTCCTTCCTTCCTTCCTTCCTTCCTTCCTTCCTTCCTTCCTTCCTTCCTTCCTTCCTTCCTTCCTTCCTTCCCTCCCTTCTCTCTCTCTTTCTCTCTTTCCTTCTCTCTCTCTTTCCTCCTCTCTTTGTCTTTTTCTTTAGCTTTATCCCTTATTCCTTTATCCTAAAATGTTTGTTCCTCTCATTTTCAGGAGATGCATGCAAAGTGTACGGTGGTGTACAGCTCAAGGGAAAATCTGTTTTAGTGGTGGCTTACACCAAAGAGAGAGGTTTCTTCTCCTGCTTGCAACAAGCCCTGTGGCTAACCAGTGTGTGACTGGTATGTGACAAGTGATTAGAAAGTCTCTTGTTTAGTTTTCCCATGTAAACAAAATGCTTTTTCATAACTGTTACTCAGGTCAATAGCAGCACTATTTGGCAAACAAACTTGTCTTCAAGAACATTTTCTGGAACTGTTTATACTTTGTTCCTGAAAAAGAGACCGAGAACAGTTGCAGTATAGCTGAGTGTGCTGCTGATGGGACAGGATGGGGCCAAGTTAAAAAGGGCGTGCCCCTTTCTACTTCTGTTCAAGCACACTCTTTCCAAAGGCAAAACTTGGTTTGCACTTGTACTTCATGAGCATTATGGATAAATGATCTGATCCAAGGACATCTACTTTGTCCATGATAAATATTAAAAATACAGCATTTGTATCTGAAAATTTTAAGCTATTTTTAAGAACTTTTTTTTTTTTTTCTGCATCTGAGTGCCAATTGACTGCCAAAAATTTTGCCTTGATGAGGAAATAGTGTTCAAAATTCCCCAAAATGTCATCAGGGTAGCATTTTGCTAATAAGTAGCATGTGGATCACATGATTCTGTAGCATAAATATTTAATAGCATGTGTTGGGAATCACCACATAATTAAATTGTAGATTTGTTTCTCATCAAAGGTGATTTTCCCATTTTCATGTCATTGTGATCTTTGCTGCACTGTCATAATTATTTTCTATCTCATCCAAGTGCACAGTGTAAAGAAATATATGTTACCCCACTGATCTGTTCTAATGTCTGAGATTTATTTAGAACCCGTACTTGCTCAATAGACACACTACTTACATGATCTAGGATAACTTTGAACTAGCCATCTATCTAGAATTTTGGTGTGAGATGTGAAATCGTTACTCTACAAAACCCTATGGGAAGAAATAAAAAAAATGCTGCTTTGGGACGAAGTTATGTTACAATTAGAGATGGACATTCTCATAAAATATTAATTTTACCCCAAAATAGCATTAGCACCAGGTAATGTCATAACTGTTCGACAAACATATCTCTTGCTAGCAAGAAAGACAAACCCAAAGCTTTTTTTTTTTTTTTTTTTTTTAATTGAAGTTAAAAAAAAGAAGAGGCAGAAGGAAGCTAATGTATTGCGCATTTTCATGCATCTTCATTCCTACAATGGTGGGAAATATTGTGTGCTTCATACATTGTAAGCTTGGAGAATGTATTGTGTGAATAAAATTGATATTTTATGAACAAATTATCCTAGAATCAATGGAAAGAGTGCAATGCAGAGCCTGAGCACCTTTCTTAGTGCTTTGACATGCATTTTTATTATGTCAACAGGCAGCCTGGCTCTTCGATACATTAAATGGAGTCTGGTGTTTTCTTATTTTCCAGTAAGAATCAGCAATTTCCTTTAATTCCTAGTGAATTTCTCAGATTACTGCTTTAATTTCTGAGGATAAGGCCAAGTGTGTAATCTGCTCATCCACTTTTAACTATAGCTCTCATGCTGCAGTAGCTTCAGTCTCAGGTTATTGCAACTGCTGTGCTTCCCTTTGATAACGCCATCCTGTAACAATGTGCATTGCTCCCCCATACCCTAGGGTAATGTTAAATACATCTGCCTGCCGACTGGCTTTCTGTTCTTCATTAACCTCTGTTTCCTCTGCTCCCAGTTGTCAGTAGAAGCTGCTCGACTGACTGTTACTGCACTCCAACAAAGCATTTGTGCCTATGGTGTCTGAGTACACATGGCTCAGTCAGCTCATTCATTTTTAAGTGAACAAAACTTGCTCCTGACATCACAGCCATTTCTGGCTTGCAGTGATATTTTCCCATTTGGGCACAGCTGTCTTCTGTGTGAGAAAAGTCACATTTGTGGGCCATTTCACTAGATCTTATTGGCAGCAGAAGAGCTTTGAGATGCGAAACCATGTGTGACTTGCAAACACTGCTGGATGGGACAGCAAAGGTGAAGAGTTATGAAATTTAGCTTCAGCACTTGAAAATCTTTTTCGGAAGAAATTCTGCAGTTAATTTCTCTAAGTGTCAGCATGGAAACCCTGCTTCTTCATGAAATACTTGGATAGAAGAAATAGGAGGAAGCCCCTGGCACCCTATCCCAAAAACTCCCTCTACACAAGCAGGTGCAATTCTCACACGGCCTTCCTGGAGTTCCCCTCCTGGGAATGAATTGAGCTTGCATGGGTTGAAGCACCACTCTTATCTTATCTTGGATGCTTTGGGTCCCCTGGTTACTCAGATAATTGATCCTCGTAAAAGGAAGAGATTTACACAGCAGACAACTCATGCACGAACAGTAGGGCTTGAGGGAAAAGTACTGCGTATGTCACCACTCAAAACTGCAGACGGTGTTTCCCTCCTTGCTTGCTATTTCCCCACTCACACTGCTAGGAACTGGGACGGTATGTGTCCAAGTCCACAGGCTTTGCTGCTGTCTTCCCGCACCCTGCAAGCTACACATGTGCTGCTGATCAGCAACAGCTTGTGCCCGGTCCCGCCACCTTACCTGCTGCAGCTGGCAGCTGGCGGAGGTGCCTGCTGCCTCTGCCACCTTCCTCATCCTCCCCTGCTCTCATCGCCTGGCACTGCTGGCCGAGCTCCTCTGCACTCTGCACGGGTGCCATCGTCGCCTCAGCTGGAAGCCTCTCAGAGGGTGGATGTCCTCCCCAGACTGGAAAGGAAAGCCCAGCTGATTTTCGTCATTGCAACAAGTTGCTGGAGCTGGCTGAAACCAAATGCGGACCGCAAAGTGGTTTGTGCACAACTTTGTTGCTATTTCAGAAGGCTTTGCCCTTTGCAGTGACACAGGCTGTTGCTATTCTTGGGAGCCTATTGCAGGCGAGGGGAGGGACATCTGTCGGAAGCATTGCTGTTGCCTTTTAACAAATAGTTGGAGACATCAGACATTCGTGCACAGCACGGTGCACATTCCTTCCCCACTAGCTTAAGGGATCTCTTTTTTTCTCTTCTCCCTCATGCTCATACACATGTTTTTTTAAGCAGAGAAGGCACATGGAAGGGAGGATCTGGAGTGTGTGCTGTGTCAGCTGAATTTCAGGCGCTGAGCACACATGCACACAGTGTCACTTCATTCTTTTGAGGCATGAGCAAGTTGTGCTGAGAAACAGCAGCAAAACTATGACATTCCTCTGCACTCCAGGAAGACAGAAGGCAGGTTTTCATAGCATAAATGCTCACACTATTTTACAACCAAATATAATGGCAAACCAATCTCTCTCCTGTAACATTTAGGCAAAAGCTGAGATTGTCTCATTTTTAGGGAGACAAAGGCTTGGTTTTGAGAGCTGCTGGAGTTGCTCCATGCCTACTATCTTCAGCAGAGTCGGTGACTAGGGGTGGACCACATGAGCAAAGAAGGCTACAGCAGGGGAAGTAAGCTGCCTTTGGGGGCTGCCTGCCTCATCCTGGTCCTGCTCCTTGTGCAGGAGCCTCTGAGTGCTCTCAGCAAACAGGCCTCAGTGTGGCAAGTCATCCAAGTTAACCCCAGTGGGAACTGCTGTTGTATAATCTGGCAGCACTACAGACTCTTTGTTCTCTTGCTTTCTTCCATGACTTGTTGTTTTGTCTTGGTTGGTTTTGTTTTAACACAGTGATGTCTACATACAGTGTGGGAGGGAAGGAAGATGTGGAAAGTTGGTAGCTTTGACAGTATTTCTAAGAAGGAGGAGTGCTAAACTTTTTTTTCTTTTCTTTTTTTTTTTTTTTTTCCTGGAGTAAGCATGACACGCCTTTTATCAGTGCTTGCCTAACAAGAAAATGTGACAAAATACTCTGATACTTCCCCTTCTAACAGATATACTGCTATCAGCTTCAGATACTGGAGAACCAGTGATGCCGCAGGAGTATGGGTTCCAGGGAGTTTGGTTGTGGCAGCACCTTTGGTACAGAGATGATAAATGAGTACAGCTACCTCTCCTCTAATGTGTGATGTATTTTCCACATAAAATGCTCACCTGTCAAATAGGACAGGATGCTATCCGGGCTGGTAACAACTTCTTGCCCCTTCCGGAGAGATGTTACTCCATCATGTGTTACACAGAAATAAACAATTTCATCTTCTAAAGAATATATTGTAAATGAGAGGCTGTTCAGACTAGGGGAGAGGAACTCTTTCCTAAATTTCAGCTATGACAAGATTCCTCTGTTACAATCCAATCTGTGATCAACTTCCTTATATGGCCCATACCTCATATAACCCATAGTTTGGCTTAAGTGATGCTATCTGGAAATTCATTTAACACCTCCCAGAGATCTTCCGTGTAGTGGTCCTGGAGAAGTCAGAGGACTGCCATGTCCTCTCAGGTATTTGCCCTAGGAGGATGCTTTCCAAGAAGAATGTTCATTCCCCAGGCCAGAGCTGCTGCCCAGGTGGGGATCTCCCTGGGCAGTGATTCCCACTGCCTACCAAGGAGCCAGCAGAAGAAGAGAGGTTCAGTTTCACAGAGAAGTGATGAGAGGCTCACTGGCTCTTAAGAGAGCTCTGGCAAAATGAATGGAGAAAAACCCAATGGAATGTTAGGCATCCTGGACAGCCTGAAATGATGTATTTCAATGTAGAAAATATTCGCCATCCTTAGATAATCAGATATGCAAGAACTGACCACTTATTTTTAATATTAGTTTTTAGCATCCAAATGATGGGAGGCTGCTTTGCTGGAAATTGGAACTATTGAGTGAACTATCTAGACAAGTTTGCAGCATAGCATCTGTAGGACTGGAAATACGTAACAGTCCTCACATTTGTGAAGATCTACAGTTTCCCTTTGTCCTCTCATTCCTCTGCTCCACCCTTAAATGTTCCTGAAAAAGTCTAGGACTGCCTTTGCGGATGTCTTCACTTCCATCACATTTGTAGAGCGTGCTTCATCTGTGAGCTGAATCAGATTAATCAGCTAGAGGCTATTACTAATTTTGACTGAAGTGGAGGTCTAATGTGACTGCAGCCCCCTAAATGTTCAGAGCCTCTCCTCCAACTAAATGTACTGGTTATGTACAGTTGTCAGCACCTGTGTACTTGTAATGAATTTATCATCAAAGGCATACTACCCGTGAGAGTAATACAAAGAAAAGGTTGCTCTTCATGAAGTTTCCAAATCTTGTGATGAAAAAAATTTAAGTGATAAATGTTAAGTAAATACAGGGTGCATTCCATTCATTTTTGAATGACATGGAAGAAGAAAAAAAAAAAGATATTTTAGGCAAACAGTGGGATTTGTTGCAACTGCATTTCAACCTGGAGTTCAGTGCTATCTATATACCCCTCGGAAACCAGAGGCTGGGCTGATTTTGAAATGTTTACCTCTGTGTTTACTCAGATAGCTGGGAGACTGACCTTCTCAAAATTAAGACCTCATACTCTATTTTTCCTTCCTAACTCTGCTTTTACTTCATGGTACTTTTAACAGCTGTCACACAGCAAGTAAACTCAGGAGACAGTGAGCTCTTATTTATGGTTAAGAAGCCAGTATAGAACACAGATCACAATGACCAGCCAGAAATGAAGATACTGACAGGTTGGCAGTGTTAAAAGGGCAAAGAACTCTACTGGTGTTTTGAGCCTGGCCATCCAGAGCATTGCACGCTTACCATGCTGACCCTCTCCTGCTAGTGGTGGGTCACTAGAAGGGCTGTGCAGGGCTGCTTCTCTTCAGTGCTTTAACCAATGACTTGGATACAGGACTTGAAGGTATACTTAAGAGAGTTTGCAGACGACACTAAATTGGGTGGAACTGTTGACTCTCATAAGAATAGAGGCTTTGCAGAGAGATTTTGACAAATTGAAGGTCTGGGCAATCACAAGTTGCATAAAATTTGACAAGAGCAAGTGCTGGATTCTGCACCTGCGATTGCGCAGCTCTGGGTATATGTACAGATGGGGGGATGAGAGGTTGGAGAGCAGCCTTGTGGAAAGGGATCAGTGGGTTCTGGTTGGCAGCAAGTTGAACATGAATGAGCAGGGAGTGCAAAGAGCCAACCATATGCTGGGGTGCACCAGGCTCAGCACTGCCACTGTGCTAAGGGAGGAATTGTCCTGTTATGCTCTATGCTGTGCAGCCTCATCTCGAGGATCAAGTGTGGTGTGGGTGCCACAGTATAAAGAGGACATAAAGCTATTACAGAGCATGCAAAGGAGGGCTATGAAGATGGTGTAGAGCCTAGAGAGCAAGTATGAGGAGTGGCTAAGGCCCCCAGGTTTGTGCAGCTCAGAGACAAGGAGGCTGAGTGGAGGCTTCATGATAGCCTCCAAACTCCTCATGAGAGGAGCACAGGGACAGGTGCTGATCTCTGCTCTCTGTTGACAGCAACAGGACATGAGGGAATGGCATGGAACTGGGTCAGGGGAGGGTCAGGTTGGAGGCTGGGAAGAGGCTCTTCACCAGAAGGTGGTCGGGCTCTGGATCAAGCTCACCTGAGCAGTGGGCACAATCCCAAATGCTGGAGTTCAAGCACCTTTTGGTCACCACTCTCAGACATAGGGTTTGAATTTTGGGTAGTGCTGTGTGGAGCCAGGAGTTGCATCCTTGTGGGTTTCTTCCAACGTGGAATATTCTGTGATTCTATGATCTTGCAGAGGCACCAGGGAGTCTTTAAGGCTTTGACTTGCTCCCTCAGCAATACCCCATGCAAAACACATTATATGAGGATGATAAACACTTTCCTATAAGAGGTCCTGGGGGAAAATGTACCCAGCAAGTAGAAATGTGAAATACTTTATTTTGAGATCTGCTGTGTGAAATTGACAGGAGGGACTTTTTAATCATTGTTGGTAGCCCTCTGATAATGAAGAGCTGCAGCTCAGCAGGTGCAGGAGTCTTGTTTCACAATTATGTCTGGAAAGCTGAGCTATTAATATTTTTGGTATTAACTGGCATCCCATAAAATGGACTGCAAATAGGTTGGTTGTAGCCAACAAAAGCAGACAGTAGGAAGGAAAGCAAACAGCTTATGCTGGTCCTGTAGCCAAGGCAATTGCACAGGGATCTTGAGACGCAGCAGTGGTGAAACACTTACTGGTAGTCTCCAGCACTGTAGTTCCTGAGCCCCACTCTATTTTCTAGTAGGAACAAACAAACAAACAGCCAAGCAAAAGTTCAGCACAACAGCTACAAACAGAATAAGGTGGCAAGGGGCTGCTAGAGGATTTGCAAAGTGAGAACATCCATCATGACACCACTCTGTCCCTCTCATTGCTGCATGGATAAGGAGTCCTGATGAAATAGGGACTGTGGAATACTCCAGAAAGATTCCAAACACCAGGAGAGACCAACAGTGACACTCCAAGCAGTATATAAGCAGCTGTTCCACAACTGTGCAGTTTGAAGCTGAGAAGAAGGTCACACCATTCAGAATAAAAAAGAGTGGAAAAGATAAAACAGCCTAAAACATGAGAGAGTCAGGAGACAGTCCAGTAATGTGAGTGTAACATTGTCATGAGATTCCTCTGTTTGTTTTATCCAAATGCATTTGGCAAGAAATAATCTTTCTGATATTCGTAGAATTCCTTGCTTTCAAAACTGATTTAAAAGTTCATGATTAGAAACATGATGAGGCTGGAAAATGAAGATAAGATATTCGCATTAAATTGCTAAATAATCTGCCCAGAAAACATATGAGGCTAAAGTCTGCCTTTTTTTCTAAATTCTCTGGTCCTCATCTGTGTTTGTCTGCATTTCCAGTGAACTAATACTTCAAATTTGGGATGGTGGAGAGATGGAAAAGTCAGTGTTTAGCCAATGGGAATGTACCAACTGCTGAACAGCTTTCTAAATCAATTTTTCTCAGGCTGTTTTTGTAAGT